GGGTCTTCTTCAGTCTGGGTATCAGGGACGGGGTCTTCTTCAGTCTGGGTATCAGGGACGGGGTCTTCTTCAGTCTGGGTATCAGGGACGGGGTCTTCTTCAGTCTGGGTATCAGGGACGGGGTCTTCTTCAGTCTGGGTATCAGGGACGGGGTCTTCTTCAGTCTGGTGGGTCTTCATGTGTGTTTTCAGACAGTGGCTCTGGGTGAAGGCTCTCTCACAGACGGTGCACTTGTAGGGTCTCTCTCCGTTGTGGGTCCTCATGTGGACCTTCAGGTGTTCCCGTCGAGAGCAGGCCTTCCCACAGACCCCGCAGACAAAGTTTCTGACCCCCGAGTGGATCTTCACRTGGCTGTCCAGGTTGGTCTTCTGYCTGAAGCTGCGCCCGCACTCAGGACATTCGTATGGTGTCTCTCCGGTGTGAATCCCTGCGTGTTTCTTCAGCCCGCTCTTGAACAGGAAGTGTTTGCCGCACACGTCGCAGGCGAACGGTCTCTCTGTGCTGTGGCTCTTCAGGTGGGCCTTCAGTCTGAAGTCTGTGGTGAAGGTTTTGCGGCAGACGCTGCAGGGGAACGACTGAGYGGAGATCCTGTGGCTCTTCATGTGCATCCTCAACGACCTCTCCAGTTTGAAGAGTTTCCCACAGATGCTGCAGCCGTAGCGGTGTTCCTCGGCGTGGATCAGCCTGTGCTGGGTCATGTACTGACGGATGGTGAAGGACTTCCCGCAGATGTTGCAGGCGTGTCTTTCTGCGCTGGCRTGCAGCTTCCTGTGGGAGACGAGCTGCGGCTTCACGCCGAACGTCTTCAGACACAGGTCACATTTGTACGGTTTGTTTTGGACGTGGACCCAGCGGTGGTACCTCAGGGCCGTGGAGCTTGTGAAGGTCTTGTCGCAGTCGGAGCACCGGAGCAGACTACTTCCTGTGTGCCGGGCGACGTGACACCTGAGCCCGATGGTGGAGATGAAGGTCTTCCCGCAGTGAGGACACCTGTGGACGTCCTGGTGAGTTTTAAGGTGCTCCTTCAACTCCTCCAGGGACTCGAACTTCACTCCGCAGAYGCCACAAACRTCCTGCTGCTGGTCCACGTGAGTCCAGGTGTGCAAGATCAGACTCCCCAGCTGGTGGTACCAGGCCCCACACACCTGGCAGGAAACTTTACCCTCCTCCTCCTTCTTCTTCTTCTTCATGACTCTTTTAGTTTTTCTTTTCTTGGTTTTGGGTTTCTGCCGTTTAGAACCTGGTGTCCAGTCGTTGCTCTCGTCTAACGCCTCCTCTCGTTGGTTCGAGTCCACTTCGATCTCATGTTCTTCCTCCTTTATCTCCAGGTTCTGCTGAGTCATTGGGCTGCTGGACAGAACCTCCTGTCTGGTACCACCCACGCTTTCAACAGGGCTGAAAAACACAAAGTAAGAAATACGTTGGAACCTGAAACTATGAAGAGCACTGCACTCACCTAATAAAAACTGGACTTCTGAGATCATAATTACGAGACATTATCTCATAATTTAATTACAAGATATTATCTCATAATTTAATTACGAGACATTATCTCATAATTTAATTACAAGATATTATCTCATAATTTAATTACGAGAC